TTGCATTGCTGTCTACGGAGGGTCAGAGAGCTCTCAGATTTCATCAAAAATATCTTAATTTGTGTTCCGAAGATGAACGAAGGTCTTACGGGTTTGGAACAACATGAGGGTGAGTAATTAATGACAGAATTTTCATTTTTGGGTGAACTAAACCTTTAACAGGCCATAGTTACTATATACTTTGATTTTATTGATGATAACAACATGAACATTTATCAAAATGTGTCCTTTTGTGATTTATAGACGAAAGAAGGTCATTAAGGTGTTGAAACTTGAGTGGATGAGCAAATTATCAAATTTTCAAGTTTGGATGGATGGTAAATAGTCTTGCGGTAAAGTACAAATATTATCTAATTTAATATGATGTCTTAAAATTGTATACAGAATGTACTAATAATTAGTATAGCATGTCACCCGGCAGGTCACTGCTGGATATTTCATGTCAGCTACTGAAAATTTGTTAAGGTCTGGTGCAGGTACAAAGCATATGTGAGCAATAGAGATGCTATAAAGCAGGAGGAACTGTTTCTGATGCACCCCGAGCACAAAAAAACACCAAGTATGATTGATCTACCATCACAGAGCTGTACATAAACTAAAGATTACTGGAGCACACCGACAGAGAACAAAAATGCACCTGAAATTAAGAGATCAGAGCACACATTTACTGCTAAAGGTATGAAAAATATTCCTTTTGAGCCCTCACGATAATTTGCTGCCATCAATTATTTCTTTCATCTTTAAAAATGGTGTAAAAGTAGTTATTTCATACTCAAGGGTCAGCTCAGGAGGAATATACTCCAGTGAAATCTGTGGAATGGGTTTTAACATACTAAAAACATTCAATCGACCTTGGAGTCAAAAACAGCAAAGTCGAATTCAGCCAAAAAGGACTGAGGGATGTAAAGAATGATCCCAATTCTTCATCTTTCTTTGTAATTCTACAGGAGCAGACTCAGGCGTTCCTTTGTAAAAGATGCAGATCACTATTCCTTCAAAAGGGGCTAGATTTGACCTCATTTGGTGTCGCCGAAGGGATGCAGACAGAGACATGGTGTTGGAAAGGGCATCTCTTTTCTAGACTGCCAGCTGTGAGATGAGTGGTGTCAGTTTCGGGGGTTTTGTGAAAGGCGGAACGGTTCCATTAGAGATGTAGCTTCTGGGTAAAAATTTAGAGTCGACTGTCAGCTGTAATCACGAAACCAAACCTTTAGTCACCATCTGTGTTTGTGGCTGGGAAATAAGGATGAAATTTTGACGCAGTAATCCAAATCCTAGTGAGCTGCCTACATGGGTAGCTTCCTTCTTCCTACCAGCACTGAAATGTTCGATTTAGAATGCTCTTCTTAAGCAGCAACCAAAAGTGGTCCGCATAAGAGATTTGATTTAATTAATTGCAGTAGTTGTTGCTAAGATAATGGCGCAAAGATTAAAAATACTTGAAATCCTTCTGAACTCAAATTTAGGATAAAAGTATGCTGAACAGTTCCTTTCGGTATTGAATTGCAATGTAATGCAATTGCAGTTTCGTCCTGAGATTGTCTTCTCTGTGAAGGATACATGCGATGCTACCGTTGGCTAAAATTAGCCACTTTTCGCACCTATGACGCCTTAAAATGCTGACTCCTTAGGCAGCTCAGTAGGTTTTGGAATTGAGCGAGTGCACTGAGCCTGAGGAGGGAAAATAATCTTGCGGCACCCGAGGCGCTGTTTTTATATCCCAACTCATTTTTCTTCTTAGTTGAAAATGTCAAAAATAGATTGTTGCCGTGGTCATTTTGTGTCAGATGTCAATCACCCGTGCCAGTCTTTACTAAAGAGATCAGCTACGTCAAGTTAAAGGTAAATGGCTTCTGGGTCGGTGATTGGAACACAATGTTCCTGTCCAGGACTGAGTGTGACATTCTGTCTGCAGTCAACACTTTATCAGTTTTAACTGACTGACGGCCAAATTAGCAAGAGGCTTCAAATTAAAACCACTGGCCTTGTCAGTAAATACAGCTGGGCAGTTGATAAATAACATGCCCAGGAGCATTTTTAGGTCAAAAGTCATGTTAATGTATAAGGGGAAAGCATTATTTTAGGTTTTATTTTTTGCCATTTTATCACCTTTTAGCTTTTTGCACCTAAATGGTCCTACAATGTATTCATAAATAATGTAAATGAATTCTTAACACATTTACATTTATATAGTACATTTTTATAGTCCCTAAATTAATATTAGATCATATTAATATTGTAAAGTATTCATGCATAATAATTCGGCAAGAATTAGAAAAAGTTTGAATTCAACATGAAATCAAAATGTACCCATTTGCTTTCCTAATACTGGTCTTGTTGTGCACTTTGTAATCTTTAATAAAAGATTTTAATTTTCGGTTGATGTCAGTTAGGCCACACGGCCCACTAGTTAATGTTAACCAATGGCCAAACAGTTAATTAGGAACAATTTTAGCAAACTTGCAACTCAGGTATGGAATGCCAATTTTAAATATCATGTTTTACTTTGATATCACGTCATATTACGGACCTAAAATGAGTTGGGAACACCTTTCATGTCAAGTTTTTATAGTTTAGAAATTTTTTCATGGCGTCATGAAAGTTTAAGCACCCAACTCTCACCTTGCAGGGGAAGCCACATTTAACCCAGACAAACAGCCAGAAATGTTTTCTAAGCTGTTTTTGAGGTGGTTAGGCTGGTCGTCACCCTAAGGGTGCACAAGTTTGTCCATCAACCCAGAAATTTCTGGGAGTTTAAAGGTGTAGATTAGATCCTTAAGGCACCTCCGGCTGGTGAACACTTACCTAGGCACTGTACCTAGGCTCTGTACCTACCTCACCTTACCTGTACTGATAAAACCCAGCGCCGGCCCCCAATGTAGTGCACCGTTCTGTATCCTGTTGCATGCCACAAAGATTAATCCATTTGAAGAGATGACTGCAAAAAAGGGAGAGAGCTTTTTGGTCACAGACACATCACCTATTCGCAAGAGCAGTCATGCCTACATGCACCGCTCAATAAACGCCCTCGCCCGGCTCCCATGAGAGCGACAGGCCACCCTGCAGGAGCAATATTTCGCATTCGCTCTCTGGTAGATAGGAACGACGACGCCCTGTCAGTGAAGGTGAGACATAATTAATGTGGGAGACAGGTAAACAGTGGGGACGTGCTGATAGCCGCTGTAATGATGGATTTGACTTTATCTTTCCAGAGTGAAGAGTAATGTTAATGCGTGACTTGTTATTGCTGTACTCACGGTGGAGGCCATGGTGATTATGCAAATGACTTCAGCTGTGACACGGACAAGGCCACACAGACTGTATAGAGTTGTTAAGTACGTCTGGAATCTGATAATAATATATAAGCGCACTCTCAACACTGTAAATATTTCATATATGTGCATCATGGGACATTGAACAAGATGATGATGATGTGAAACAAAGGGCGCAAAGTGACAAGGCTGCAGACACCCGTCCAGTGCTTCATTTGAATAGCACAACAGCGCCACACCGTGGACACATACATCCACAATCTCCAAGAGCTGTGTGACTGAACTATTTAAAAGTCTGGACATCTGTTGAAGTGACGCTGGATAATATCTGATGACGTTCAACATCTCAGGTAAATTCTCAAGAGGAATGAAAATGATTCAAGCAGTTATGAGATATGTTGAGTGCAGACAATGAGTCTTGTTTGTAATCCATTTCAAATCATAATGATGATTATCATTCTTATTAATATTTTTAATATTATTTTGTGAACTAGGCTCCTATCCACACCTTCTTTTTCATATGCAATTAAAAATGCATTTGTGCAGACTTTTTTTTTTAGCAATTTAAATGCAGGCTAATTTAACCTATTAAATGTCTATCAATCAATTTGTAATAACTTGGTATATTAACATGGTCATGATCACTGAGAAAGTCTCCCTTACGAAAATTAACCATGGTTTTACTACAGATAAAACCAGATACCATGGTTACTATAGTTAAACCATGGTAACCACAAATTAACCATGGTTTTGCTACACTAACCATAGTTTTTACCATATTAATAGTGTAGTAACCATTGTTTTTTGGCGTATTGACTACCATTTGTATAACCAAAGTTTTACTACAAATACCATGGTTTAACTATGGTTAGTGTAGTAGCAAAACCATGGTTAATTTGTGGTTACCATAGTTTAATAACCATGTTATTTGGTTTTATTTGTAATAAAACATTGGTTCATTTTCGTAAGGGTTCGTAGCCTATATTAGTGTAGTGTGTATGTCATCAGTCGTCGTCTGAGGTTATTTTCGTACGTACATCGATTCGTAGGCCGTTAAAAATGATCCCTTTCTATTTTGTAATGTCTCATATCTTTAATCTCCACCAGATAAAGTTTGTATGTTAAAATTATTTAAACTTCTTGTTGAACAGTAGTGTGATGTACTGTAAAGCCGTTACCTCACCTTCCCGCGTCGTGTCACACGCGTGTCACGTGACGAGTTCGCGCCTCTCGCTGCTATTGTCCTGGTAACGGTTACCTGGTAACGAGCGCGGGGATAAAAGAGCAACTCACGGCGCGCACAGGTACATGTGGTAGGTGCGACAGGTAACGGACGAACCGTTTATGACTAAAAACTTATTAAGTGTTATTAAGTTATTTAAATCATACAAAAATAACAATAATATCAGTATACATATTTTGTTGTTTCACGGTTCAAAGACCCATCAAGTGCACTTTTAAATGACGCTATTAAGGTAAACGAGTAAATAAATGGCGATGAAATCTTTAGACTGACATTATGAATGTTGTATCTGCAGTAACGTCGCTTAGTGTTAATGTGACCTCAGTCAGAGACTGCATTGGAAAATGTTTGTTTATATCAAACTAATTCTTCCATTGTGTATGGTACTGGAAATAAAACATCACATCAACCATTCATTTATCATTGTGTGTGTGTGTGTGTGTGTGTACAGGTTCTGTATTTTGTTAGGTTAGTCACAGTCACAGATGGTTGGACCCTTGGATGCAGTCAAACCCTTGGTTGGAACAGGCAGACCAGGGGGGCGTCCGACTAACATCGGCCTCGACCAATACTGCACCTCCTACAGACAGTCTTACAGTGAGTAACCTTAGAATCATCAAACTATACTTTGTTTTTTTTTTATTTATGATTATAGACATTGGCATGATCAGACTGATACTGAAGCCAGACAATATCAGGTCATAATTTCCCCATTTAAAACAACAGCCTTTTTCTATGCCACAGTTTGAAACATAAACAGCCATCCATCTTTTCTACCACACATTATAATGTTTTGATTGCTTATTTTACTGGAAACGTTCAAAACTCTAGATCGGTGCAAGAATAATTTTTCTTTCTTATTTTCCCTACTTTTGTCTGGTTTCAGACTTGTAAATGGTTATTGTGGAATGCAGAAAGAGAATTTGTAAAGAATCTTCATGCAACCTCTTTTAGAGGAATTGAAGTTGTAAACATCTAATTTTGCCCAAATAAATGATTAGTTCAGTGAATATAGCATATTTATGTTATATGGATTACTTTTATGATGAATATATGGTACTTTATTATTTTTAAAAAGTTTTATTATGTATAATTTTTGTACTCCACAACCTGTGGTCACTATAAACTACTGTATGGAAAAGAGCACTGTAAGATTCTTCAAAACGTCTACTTTTGTATTCTACAGAAAGCAATAACAGCATACAGCATTTTGGGTGACCTGTTCCTATAAGTACATATTTAATAAAAAATATATATAGTATATAATTATCATATCAGTCAGCAAAAATAATAAAATGTCCAAAATGTCTGTATTGGTGCATCCTTATTTCAACTATAGATATCCTGTAGAGATTTGTGTTGTGTTGTGGAATATAGGATGTTGAATCTGTCATGAGTTGTGTCCTCTTTTATCCAGGTAAGGAGTTATTTCAGTCATGTCTAGGTCATCATTTTGGAACGGGTTACTCTGCCAACCACCGTCCTGTTCTGTACTACAGCTCCAGCCTGGACCGCTATGATAATCCACAGTTTGGGTAAGACCCAGATTGTGTGTGTGTTCGAAATCGCACAAATTGTACACTCCAAAGCCTTTTTGCACCTCACTAAATCATTGTAGACACGTATACTTTTCCTTTTCTCTTAGTCTCTCACTGTTGGACAGTTTTGAGTCTCAAACGAAGCGTCATTACCAGCGTCTGGTTCTGCCCGACGGGACGGAGCCTTTGGCCTGCTCGGGGTCCAGACGCAGAGAGAGCGGATATTTGCAGCTCCAAACTCAGCCAAGACCTGTGAGAGCCAAAGACACACACATAGAAACGCAGCAGATTTCAAGGGCACTGTGCCATGTCACTTCACCCTGGCCTCATTGTGCTTTTACTTTCTCTCTCTCTGTTTCTTAGAGAGCAGCGTCCTGTCAGACTGAATATAAAGGCACTTACATTCCTCACCGCCTCAGAGTTTTGGGTAAGTGGTGTGTTTTAAAAAGAATGGTTCTTTGTGGATTGATGTTGCATTATAGGTGTTTCAGATCAGTGCGTTTTTGTTTTAGTTGGACCCATAGAAGATAGTGGATACACTAAGGAAGCCAATCTACAGCTGAATACCTTCCTCACTCAAAATATTAACATGGTGTGTGTGTGTGTGTGTGTGTGTGTGTGTGTGTGTGTGTGTGTGAACTCCTCATTTTAATCTGTTGTCAAAGTCATTGTCAAGATGTTTTTTAACTGCACTGATCCATGCTGTATACATGATGAGAATCACATAATGAAATCCTTTTTCCGATGTTATGCTTACTCTCTGCTCTGATTGGGTAATGATGGTTGTCAGGATGACGCTCGCAGGACACAGGAAAGTGTGATGAGGACTGACTTCCTTCCCGGATGTTTCCTACAGGTGGTCTCTCTGTTTCTCTCGTTCTCTGCTATTACTCTGTCCATCAACATCTCGACAATTTTTAAGATGTGCGTCAGTTGGATGAGGTCTGTAGCATTTACAAGAGAAACCCAGAGGCCTCTGACCAGTTCAGTGAGTATCTCTATCACTAGATAAACTCTGCAATTAAGACTACAACAAGTTCTCTGATTAAGGATCAGGGTTTATTGGATGTTCTGCCCACAGGCCTTTCTGCAGGATGGCGTTAGTGAAGACAGCGGACAGAAGACTAGAACTGCTGCAGCTAGATGGTCCATTGGGCCAATGGTAAATAAAACCAATATATTTTGCCCTCTACATTTGTGTAATGGTGAAATCTGCACTTTTTTGTTTGGCTATGACTGGTTGTTCATTTAAATCTATTTGAACAATGTACATTTTATTGAGTTACACATATGGAAGATTAGATTTGACCATTAAAAGAAATAGTTCACCCAAAAACGTCAATTCCATCATTTAGTCACCATTGTTTCAAATCCATATGACTTTCTGTCAATCTATTTCTTCTCCATGGCTTTCGAATCTTATCTGTTCAAATATCTTATCTATTTCTTTATATATATATACATTTTTTTGAGCATTTAAAATTATTTTCCTTATGTTCGCACGTGTTATAGACAACAAATCAAGTTTTTATTCAAATATGACATGTGAATGCATTTTCTTGGACTGAAATGTATAGAGGTCAATATATATTTTTCAATTTTTAAAAAATGTATATTTATACATTTAAAATTTATTTTCAAAAATGTACAAAAAATGTCCCAAAATATATTGGTAGAAAATATATTTACATAAATATATTTTTTTATATTTGTATATATTTTGAAATATATTTAAAATAATATTATGCTGTATGGGATATATAGTTCACCCAAAAATTTAAATTCTGTCATCATTTATTCACCTTCAAGCTGTTCCAAACCTTTATGAGTTTCTTTCTTCAGCTAAAAAAAAAGAACAAAGAAAAGATACTTTGAATAATGTTAGTAACCAAACAGTTGCAGGTCCCCATTGACTTCCATGGTATGGGAGAAAATACTACGGAAATCAATGGCAACTGTTTGGTTACCAACATTTTTCAAAATATCTTCTCTTGTGTTCAACAGAAGAAAAAAATTCATACAGGTTTGGAACAACATGAGGGTGAGTAAATTATGGCAAAATTGACATTTTTGGTTGAATTATCCCTTACCCATTATTAGTACCTGCATGGTACATATTAGTACCTTTGGAAGAGTACTGTCCCAGTGACAGCTTTTGTACCTTTTATTCTAATAGTGTAGGTTTGTAATGACAAGTGTGTGAACTAAATCTGTAAATGACACTGTCAATTAATTTCTACTACAAGTAAAAAATGAGCAAAATGTGCTCTTCTTTCAAGAAAAGCCATTTGGAAGACAGCCTGTTCTGTGCCAGTTCCGATTTAATGTCACAAAAGCACTCAAAGATGACACGGCTCACCTCAACAACACTTTGAACAGTCATCCACTAAAAAGATGATTGGAAATCTGATATATTTTGGTGTGCCGCTGCTGCTTTAAGAGGGATTTCTGGAATAGTGTAGTGTACTGGCTGTTCTGTATTCTACAGGGCTCATCAGGATTCGTCCTGAACGCCCCCAACATCACAAGCCTCTCACATACACCAGCAGACCCGCAACACTTCCTCACACACTACCAAAGCAAGTGAGTCATGTCTGTCTATCTCTGTCTGTTCCTGGTGTTTGACTGGCAAAACTGATTGCTCATTTATTTGAACTGACTGTCTGTGCCTTGTAGACATGGGCATCTACTGCATTACATGGTTTTAAAGGGGTCATATGATGCGATTTCAATTTTTCCTTT